CACCCGTTCCCAGCGGCTGCCTCGATGCGTCTCCTGAAGCCCAGGCCTTGTAGTCCTTCACAAGCTGCGATCAAGAACCGTAACGGTCAGTTCCGTAATTAAACAGGATTTTGTAGCGAAAACATCAAAATTCGCGAAGCCTTTAATCAAGTCGGATAGCTGAATAAAATAATGGGTGAATTTCATGTAGACCCCCTGAACTCTGGGGGTTTGCACGTAAAGTTCCATCAACTTCAACTTTGTTTGTTCCACTTAACCCCCGAACTTGTCTCACCGTGAACTTTTGACGAGTCACGTGTCAAGCATGTGACAACAGAGGATGAATTAAAAATCCCTCAGTTTATTAAGAATTTTACCCCTTTGTCCTTCTTTTTCATTTTTGGGGTTATATTTCAAGCAGCGCGCATTCTTGTGATTTCATCATTTATGGATATCAATGTCGGGGGAATGATGGAGAAACTCCAATGTTGAGAAAAAAAACATTTTTGTAATTTCATCATTTATTTATGGATATTAATGACAGGGGAATGATGGAAAAACTCCAACGTTCAAAAAAATTATTTATGGATATCAATGACAGGGGAATGATGGAAAAAACTCCAATGTTCAGAAGAAAGAAGGGTTTTTAACGTATAATTCCCACCTTTTATTTAAGGGGTCGGATTTAGTTAAGAAGGTCCCGCTTTCAAGATTGAGTTACAGTCTTCCTTTAAAAACAAGGAGAAAAAAAAGGAAACAAAACTGGGGTGAATTATCAAATGTAAAAGTATAATTCCCACCTTTTATTTAACGTTCAAGATATAGCAGCGTTTGACATGTCCAAAGAATCACCAAGTGTGATGCCAACAACTATGTAAAACAAAACAAAGAAGAGGCGTTCAAGAGAACGAGGAAGAGGAAGTGTGTTTGTCATTTTAACATTAGACCCCTCCATCTCCTTGTAAGTCGCAGAGGGATTGAATTACAGTGAATTAAGGCAAAATCTTTGTCGCAGGCCCCACGATTTTTGTCGCAATGTTTCTTAGGCCGAGTAAGTAATTTGAGTCAGACTACTACCAATTCTAGACTACTACCAATTCGACAGGGAAGACGAGACTTCTCCTCGTTGATGAAGCTCAGAGGAGAAGCCGAATTCACATGTCCCTAGGAACACCGAGAGGCATTTGGAGCGTCATAAAGATGTCTACAAACCTTCTGATTTGTGGTTACAAGAGCAAATAGGGACGCGTCGAACTTTCAATTTCTAAGGTGTTTGGCACAATCAGCATTCTAGTGAATCCATGTGATGATAACAATCCTGATAAGCCAGTCTATTATTTCAGCAGAATCTAGACCGAAATGGGAAAAAAGACATGCCTAGCAAAAAACCAATGTTAACTGTTGCACTATAGCTGTGCGTAATTTGGTTATGTGGGTAATTGACATGCCATAAAAAAGTATGTCCCATTTTCTCAAATTTTGAATTATTATCTATTTGTTCTTTTTTTCCTAATTTCATACCACGTTGCAGAAAGTTAAAGCTTTGCGTATCTAATCACGTGTAACTTTTCCTTGTTTTACTAAAATTGAAATGAACCTTTCATTTGTTGGCTGCATGATGTTCACGCAGAAAGCATCAAAACACTGAAGTATCTGTGCTAAATTTATTGCACGGAGACTTACCTGATTCAAAAATCGTGGAAGCATCGATCTCAGTAGCTGCTCAAGGACCTGGTTACCAGTTGATTCAATCGCTTCCACTGGTATTATTCGAAATGCGAAAGGTATGTCTATATTAACCTGAAATTATAGAAAAAAAGGGTAAGAAAATAAGGTAGAGATCCTGATCAAAGATAAAGCAACAATCATGGTGCACTAAACAAAAATACCTCAATAGTCGTATCTGATGTGAGCTTCTGCAATCCTGAGTTGTTCAAGCCATTACTGCAGGAAATTCTATTCACCATCGAAGCTGCATTTCCGACACCAAATCAATGTCAAAGGACTCCTGAAAAGGCATTATATAGTCCAATTAAAATGCAGAAATTAAATTTCTTGGCAGCATATGGAAAACAAATTGAACTTAATTAGTATTAACATTCCCAAACAAGTTATGGTCTCATCTTCTCCCTGCTGAGACCATTATCCTTAAATAAATAGGCGAATAAAATTTCATGATTTAGTAAACAGTAAACACAATATTATAACAACTAACCAGCATACAGAATATACAAATAGCAGTCATAACCTGTAGTTTTCCCCAATTGCGGACAGACCCCTTGTAGTTCTATTCTTGCAGACGGACCCCATTTGTAAAATTTTTGACTATTTTACCCTCAGAGGAAGAAATTTTTTCCGACAAATAGACCTCCTGAGGGTAAAAGAGTCAAAAAGATTCTCTCAGGAGGTCTATCGGCAGTTGGGCACTAGTACAGGGGTTTTATCTGCAATTCGGTGATAGTGTAGAAGGTCAATCCGCAATTATCACTTTTCCCACAGTAAATTGTCTTAGAAATACTCCACTAGTATTCCACTAACTTCCGAGTATTTATGTTTCCATTATATTGCCTCATTTAGAAACAAAGACTGTGGCCTTGAACCTACGACTTGTCACAGACCCGCAATCCATAACAAATCCTTTACCATTCCTGAGCTACGTCAAAAAATTTCGTAAATAATTATTTTAAATAGGTCGCATACAAAACTGACATCCTATGTCACAGAACTGCAAACAGCACAAGTTGAATTTCTGGATACTCACCAGCTTATGGACTGTGATACACATGCCACTTATAAACCCCTCAACATAACCCAACAGAATGTATTAATGCACCTTCAGTCGTTTTTACGCAAATCCATTTCACAGTTAAGTACTTGTGATGAACCCCTCAGTTCGAGACTTGAAATGTCTCATGTCTAAACAATTCCAGAGCACAGGGACTAAAAGAAACAGGCTAATACTATATAGCATAGCACTGTCACAAGATCGGCCATTTTCATGCAATCAGATTTCTGTTGGCCCCCATAAAATATAGGATATACGACAAGTTTTGATGAATGATGCCAGGTGAGAGATTAATCACTCCAGTGGTCTCGATTACAGATGCAAAAGTGAGTAAAAGTTAGATGTTTTCTAGTCCTTGCCTTCTAGTATTTTCAAACGATTACAATGAGTAGAAGATCTGTTTTTCTTTCTCCTGCCCTCTTATTACATCACTTATACAAGACCCACTACTGACCTCTGCAGTTGGAAATTTTCTGAGGTCTCCTATTATTTGCTTAGAACGGGAGATGTTTTCTACTCTAGAATTTTCGAGGGCTTTCGGTGTGCCTCTCTTTTTGTCAATTTTAGTTGTTGGTTAAAAATCGAGGCTCCTTCCTTTTTTTCCTCTTGAGGACAACATTGTGCCTCTCAAGAATTTTTTGAGGAGCAACATTGTGCCTCTTTCGGTCAATTTTGGTTGCTGGTTAAAAATCAAGGCTTCTTCCTTGTTTCTCTTGGAGAAGCTACATTGTGCCTCTCAAGATTTTTTTGAGTCGATTATCTCTCTTGATATGGCATCACGCATTTTCATATAATTACAAAAAACCAGTAATACACATCCCTCAAATTATAAAAATGAAAGCATCACAGTAACTATTTTAGGAATTACAAAATAGGCATTAATCCAAAGCACAAAATTTATAAATTAAAATCAGTGCCAAGTAGACAATACCAGAGAATTTCTCATTTTGTGCTTCCACCAGCGGTGACCCCTCCAGCTATCCTCAAACAATCAATAAAAATATCCAAAAAAATTCAAATTAATTCTGAAAAAACAGACAGTTGACAAATTTACTAAATTGATACCATATCATACCTTGCAAGATAAAAGGCTAATACAGCACCCAAAAGGCTCCTGCTCAACTCTGACCACCAGAACTGGACACACCTCAAATCCTAAGAACTTGATTTGGTAAACATAACACCTGAAAGTGTTCTCGTCAATGCGCTCGATCCGCTGAGCATCGAGCACCGAGTACTGGCTCACTGGTAATCTCATGTACTCCGCTGCTCAATTCAAATTCATTTAATTCAATTTATTTTTAAATTGCAGAATGCTCTCTATACGTTTGCTGCCACTTGCCACCTTGCAATATGTACTACTGAAGGTATTAATGAGTTTTTTAGGGGGGTAAATTACATAAACTTTGCCTGAGATTTGCAAGACTGACAGAAGATCCCATGAGGTTTTAAAGGTGACACTTTATCCTCCTCATTTTCAATTTCTAGTAATCACCAATTTCCATATCAATTTTCCTATTATAATCATGGAAAAATTGCTTCAAGACCCCAAAACTCAATTTCCATTGTGCTGTAGCCCCCCTTACTTTCCCTAATATGCTGCAGCCCCTCCTTTTTAAAAAATTACGTCCAGGCCCTTCCAGTCCAAAATCCCGATTTTGCCCTCCCTTCACCTCCATCCTCCTCCTCCTTTGCCGGTCCCCTTTTGCCCCTTCCCCCCCCCTCCCTAACCCTCCCTCCCCCCTTCCAGCCCCCATCCCTCCCCCACGCCGCCTCTCCCGCTCCCACAGCACGCCGCCTCCCTCCCCCATCGCCGCCGCATGCCGCCTCCCTTCCTCTCCCTCACGCCGCCTCCTCCCCCCCCCTTCCCCAACACCACTCGCCTACGCCACACCGCCTCCCTCCCGCTCCCCCCTTCACGCGACAGCCTCCCCACCTCCGCTAGCCGCACCGCCTTCGCCTCCCCTCCCGCCACTCCTCCCCTCCTCCCCACCCCTACCTCACTCCGCGTGCACATCCCTCTGCGCCTCTCCCCCGCCGCCTCCCTCACCCTCTCCAAGCTCCATGACCCCGCTGCACCTCCCCCTACATCTCCCTTCTCCTCCTCTAGTCCCCCTCTGTCCCCTTCCCTGTTCCGCCGCTTGCGCCGTCCCGAGGAACTTCGCGTGGGCACATTAGTAAGAGTTAACATGTTAGCCGTAAGAGTTAACATGTTAGCTGTAAGAGTTAACATCCGCTGACATGAGAAAGAGGAGGGTAAATTTGGGATTTAAGCCAGCTGACATATCTAATCATGAGCTGGCATGTCTAATCAACTGCTGGCATGAGTTGGAATCATGATGGAGGGGCCTTGGGCATATTTTTTTCAAAAAAAGGGCTAAAGCACATTAAAAAAATAGGAGGGGTTGGGGCACATTAAAAGTTCAAATTTGGGGCCTAGAAGCAAATTTCCCTATAATCATATATGTGCTTGTGTTATTGCCATAATAGACCCAAAATTCTTTCTAAATTGTATATTAGGCCCCCAGGTATTCATATTTCTAACTTACATCCCAAATCCATTAAGTTCTTCCAAATAGCACTCAATATAAATAGATTTTTACCGTAACTTATTTCTAATTTTTTTATATCAGAACCCCAAGTCGTCATATTTCTAAATAACACCCCAAGTATATTAACTTCACGAGTCAACCATACTGCGGAAACAATTATGGCCAAAATCCAACTTAAATGGGTTTTTGGCGTAAACTAGAAATTTGAAGGTTTAGGGGCCTACTATAGAACTTTTCAGGTGTCTAATGTGACAGAAGATTCTATACTTCCATACAAGAGGGTATATAACCGACAGATTATATTTATATGATGTCATCTTATAAAACTTTAGGGTGGGGGTTTCCACAATTTACCATTTTCTTTGGAGAAGTAGGGAGAAGGAAATGAGTTGGGTTTAGATTATACCAAGAGGGCGTTGGAGCTGGAGGACGGAGGCGGATTCGGAGCGCCGAGCGGCAAAGCGGGCTTTGGGGGCGGAGGAGACGGGGCGGCGGCGGAGGGGGTCGAGGGGCGCGGAGGGAGGGGAGGGTCGTGAGGCGCACCGTGACACGAATGATGGAGGAGGCCATTTAACGAGACGAGAGAGAGAGAGAGAGAGAGAAGACGGGGAGTGGGTGGTTTGTGTTTTCGAACGGTGTGCGGGAGGATAACTTGGTATTGAGAAGTGACACGTGGCGAAGAGAGGAGGGATAGCACAGGAGTCATCAATTGTCTTACGATATTTGGTCCCTTAAATTTTTTTTTTATAAAATTAGCCCTTACGTTTTTGAAATTGCTATGGGGTCCCCAAACATATGTGTTTTTTAAATTAGAGCTCCGCTATTAGGGGTGTTAACGGAGCAGATACGGCTCGGATATGGCACTTACCATATCCATATCCGCTTACCCATCTCGGATACAGATACGGATACGGATATACGTCGGTAAGAAAAATACATATCCATATCCGCCAAAATCGGATACGGTTACGGATATAGTTGCGGATATATAAACGGATATACATGCGGATACAAAAAGGATATGAGAAAACTAGATAGTATTCAGAAAAATATAGTCATATGATACAAAAAGAGTTCGTTAATATGTTCATTATGATTGAAAAGCTAAGATTAGACATCTTGATCATCAAAATTAACCACAAATCCATAATCTAAGAATCGAAACTATCATAAGAGTATGACTAATATGTATTCGGATATTTTCGGATACGGATACGGATATTTCACTACAAAACCATATCCGTTACCATATCCTATCGGTTATAGATTTGAGTAACCATATCCGTATCCTAACGGATACGGTTACGGATATTTCCTCGGATACGGATACGGTTTGGCACCCCTATCCGCTATGCAAGATACCTAAAAAAAGAACAGAAGGATAGCCCTGTTGCGTCAAAAAGGAAAATCCACTATAAATTTCATAGTCCTCGTGGTGAAAACTCACTCCAAAAGCGAGCTAATACACAAATAAAACTGTTACTTCAAATGTACGGCCCAGTCTCATACGTCTACAGGTCAGGAGAAGGCAGGGCACATGAGAGACGGGAAATACCCACATAATACGCTGCTACTAAAGATGCTCATTCATATACTTTTAACACGTACAGATCTTTCTATACCCATCAAAATTGCGTACAATTGTCTCGGTTGCATATAATACATAACTACATGAACACACGTTCGTAAATAATTTTTTTTCTTAGTATATTCAATCAATCTCAGCATGCACATAATCCACAAAGACAAAGTTCTTCTGAAACTCATGGAGCGCATAAGCAACAGCGGCACTCAGTACAGCAGCCCCAGCCACCAGAAGCCGCAGCTGGATTGCAGAAGGGATCCCAGAACTTGCACATAAAACCACGCTAGAAGCGATGAACAATTTCTGGAGCATCTGGAAAGTTTTGTACGCATCTCTGCAGGAGGAGCATTTTGCTGTGTGTTGCTCAAATCGGTCCAACATCTGCAGAAAGAAGTATATATCAGCTTCAGTTATAAAATACCTAGAACAGCAGAGCACAACTGAGACTGAGTATAAAATCAGCGGTGAAGGATGTTAGGCAGCAATAACTTCATTCAGATATCTGCGAGCTCTGAAGGTAAGAAATCTGCTCTTAAATCTAAACAATTGTTTGCTTCTAGTACGAACAAACAGAACCTCCAACCCATAATTGAATCCTTCGTATTTTAGAAAGGCGACCAAGTTCATCATATGCTTAAGTTTTCACTTCCAGTTTACAATTGGTAACCGGCATGTTCCATATCGATCTCTAATAACTGAAATGTTGTTCAAATTTTATTGTATGTAATTTCATGTTTTTTTTCCCAACTTTTCATCAGCTAGCAACGTAACAGTTTGTAGCTGACAGCAGATTTTCCTCCAAGGTTTAGGTGTTAAAGACATGTTTGTAATTTTCAAATCTTAAGGGAAGGTTTCCAATTTTCAGGGACTTTTTCCACTTTCAAAATTTTCAGGAAGTTTTTGTAATTTTCATACTTCAAGGCACTCTTTGTAATTTTGCTTTATAATTTTTTAATCTCAAAGAGCTGTTTGTAGTTTTCAGATATCTTTTTTTTAGGGGTGGTGGTTGAGATTTCTAGTTTTTTTAGAGTTTTTTTTGTAATTTTCAGATCTTTCAGTGATTATGTGTAATTTCACATTTTTTTAGGAGGATCTTTATTTATTTATTTTCACTTTTCAGAGTCATTGTTATTTTCAGATTTTTTTTTCATCGCAAAAAGTGATGGTTTTCAAATTTTTTTGTTAAGTGCCACAACTTTTAAACCTATTGGGGGTTTTCTAACAAAATCTACAGAGGGTATTTTGGTCATTTAACCACAGACTAAGCAACATTGTTCACTTTGGGGTTTTCTGTCAAAACTTAGTGGGGGTTTACTATAATGTTTAAAATTTATTGGGTTTACTGTAAAACACCATTAGTTACCGGAGGTTTAGTGTAATTTACCCTAACATTAACCGCATGTATATTTTGTTTATTATTTACATTTTAATTTATTGGTTAAATTGAGAGTTCAACCCTATGTTGCATAGACACGGGTACGGGTATGAGTACGGGTACGGGTATGAGTACGGGTACGGGGCACGGCAAATTTGTAAAAAGTAGGGTACGGGGACACGACGGTGTATATATAAAATAATTCACTTTAGATCAATATTAAATTACATACCTACTACATTTTCATGCAGATCAATGGCTTTCAAGAGAATATCAGCTATATATATAACAATTATCTTTCATGTCTCAACCTTTTCTTTTATTTTTAGGTTCTTTCATTGTATACAAACTCATTCTCAATCTCCCAAATAAAATAAGCCCCTTTGAACTATGTCCTTTAAAAAGGGGAAAAAGAAAAGAAAACAAATCAAACTTCTTTGAATGTACCTACTGCTACCCTGTTGTTATTTTTACCAAAAAATAACAAAATTTAATGAGGTATCATGGTTAAACAGCCCCAACTTTAAGACGTCTGAGAGAGAAAGTTACCTCCATGTGATGCATGATGTCATGTTCCACTAAAGCAATAAAAAAGTAAGAAAAGATAAGGAGAGAGAGAACAGAGAGCATCGTCTTCATCTCTTTGCTCAGCCTCAAACCTTAGAAACCATGGCCAATTTTCTTGGAAAAAAAAAGAAACCCCATGGCTAGCGAAAATTTCCTGTGTCCACGCCGTTTGGGTGCGGATCCGTACCTAAAACGTGCCAGACACGAGTACGGCCCCCTACTGCCCGTGTCGGGGTATCCTAGGTTCAACCTAAAGTAATGAAGGATGATGATTCAGAGCTTGAATTCAAAACTAGATAAAATATGAAGAGTATATGTCAAAATACCCAGAATATAACAAACGGAGGTGGGAAAAAACGTGACCTTGAGTTTTGATTTTGCAATCACGTTGCCAACAAAGAAGGCCCCCATCAATTAAGCCTAACTATTTAATCAAATTGAATATGAATATTGCTTAGATATTCGAATTGAATTGGAATTCAAACACGGTAAAGCTAATTTAATCCACATTCGAAACTCAAGGTACTTGATTTCATTAGGTTCATTTCCATCCTCAGTGTTAGAAGACAGAAATAAAACAAGTATTGAGCTAGTTCTTTAGTTTATTATAAGAAAGTATCCATTAGACACCCAATCCATGACATTGAGTCATGGTTTGGTAGGGGGTACAAGGACGGGAGGTGGTATGGTGTGAGGTGCAAGAAAGATCATATATTCTTGTTATTTTTGTTCGGTTGAAAGGAGGGTTAGGTGAGGTACATGACCGCTTCTTGTTTTATTGAGGAAATGGGAATGGGATCTGAGGCAATTGAGTTAGTTTACGTACAATTTTACCCTTTGTTACCCTTTTGTGAGAATATTTCAAGAACCATATTAATGAGATTGTTTATGATTTATCAAAACAAAAAAGAAAGAAACACTTAGATTGCCTGTGATTTATTAAAACAAAAGAGGAAAAAAATAAACAAAAGAGAAAAAATTAAGGTCAGCCCAATAGGCCAAGACAGAGAAACAATCTAGAACCATATATTTTCAACTCTCAGAATGGGCATCTACTCAAAAGGTCGCTACTTAAGCATTGTTATCGTCTCTTTTTAGTTGTGAGAATTGAGAGAGAGAGAGAGAGAAAGAGAGAGAGAGAGAGATTTTGATAAGAAAGTTTAATAAGATAATTATGAAAGATTTGTGAGGATAAAAAGATAATCGTAAAACAAATCTTGTCAATCCCTCCCCCTAAATCGGAAGGATATTTCTCTTTCCTCGGTCCTCACCTTTAGCTCATTTTTTTCCTTTCTCTCGCTTCACCTCACTCTATGTGACCTCACCTTCCTTTCTAAAACCTCCTACCAAAGATGATTTTTGGTTTTGTCCCTCACCTCACCCTATTTCCCCTCCTACCAAACCAAGTCTAAATGTGCACCAATGAATACAATTTTTGGATCACTAGTATAGTGCACGTGCTTTGCACGAGAGTATTATTTGTATTGTTTTTTGTTTTTAAAATTGTTTTCTTGGCTGCAAAATAATGAAATGACTTATACAGCAATATAAAATCCGAATAGTTATAATTTTGTTTAAATAAATAAATTGTACAATAAAACTGTGTATAAAGAACTATATGATTAATTATTATAGTTTGGATAATTGTTATAATTTATTCATAATTTATTAAAATAATTATAATACATTAAATAATTTTTTCTCTTTTAAATGTAATATATTATACATAACATAATTAAAATAATAATATTATTAGTAACTACATTTTAATTTCATAATTAGTTTATTAATCTCGTAAATAATTTACTAAACTGTGTAGTTATTAAATTATAGTGTAATTTATTAATTTAAAAATACTATTAAAATTATCATATTATTAACATTATTACAATTATAATAAATATAAATTATTTTTCATACTATTATCATACTTTTAAAAGGCTAATAAGATAAAAGGTAACAGGTAGTTGTCATGAGAGGTGAAACCAAAACGCATAAGGCATAAGCCTAATGAATTTTTATTATTTTTAATTTTTCTAGAATTTTTAAATATTATGTGAAGAAAAATTACGAATAAATTTTAAATTTCTATTAAATAACATAATTAAATAATAAAATAATAGTGTGACTAAATGTTTTGAAAAAGTGAGGAAATGCATAATTAATAAGAGGTTACATATAATTACTGAATGATTAATTACCACTACTAACAAAATTGAGAATTATCAAACTTAAAAGGGTAAAAATGAAAATCAAAAGTTTTGACAAGGCAATCCTCTTCTATATGTAGTATAGATATAGATTAGATTTTTCAGTTATACACTAATCCAAGAGTTGATATCATTTATTGCACATTTTATAAAATAGATTGATCTACTCAATACTTTCTCCTTTTGGCTAGTGGACATTTCATGTCTTTTTGCACGACTTTAATTCTGGTCCTTCTTTGTCAACGCTCTTCTTATCTCTTAACCGAGCACATAAACACCATTTAATTTCTCTCTTGAGATACCTCGATATATGTTTTTATTTCTTATACAAGAATGTTTCTCTAATGTTAAGTAACTTGAAATTTTCTTGATGCATTGAGATGAAAAATATTGAAAATAAATTTATTGGGATGACATTAGATAAGATACTTAAATAGATGGATTTATGAGGCATTACTCATAATATTACACTAATTACCAATCAAATTTACTTTCAGAGCTTCAATGAGCGCAATACACTAAAGAAAAATTCTCAATTTTTTACATCATTCATAATATTCATTCTTCCACCTACACTGGTAGTCACATTTTCCAAGATGATAATATCAAAAACATGACAATAGTCATATTTTCCGAGATGATAATATCAAAAACATGACAAAAGCGGCTTAGCATGTTGCTTTCACAATAAGGGTACAAGAGATGCATCCAAAAATCCATATGGTCCTTTCACTTGATAAATATTAAAAAGAATCACACATAATGAGCAAATTTGATTCGCGCATTGAAGCGATATTTGAGTGAAAAAGCCAAAATAATTTATGGTTAAGCATTTTGCATGGAAATTTCTTCCAAATTTATGGATAAATATTTTTGGGAGTGGTATTATAGATAAATTAGTGCATATGAAGAAAAAACGGATTAAACTTTTGTTTCAAAAATTTCTTTTTTTAGTTCATGAATAAAAACAATTATGCGAATTTGTATTGTAGATAAATTAGTAATTGAAAGGTCAAAAAATAACGACTAATTTCCTATAAATCTAATCAAGTGATATTGACCTAAGGAAAATACGTTTTGGAACCCATGTTTCCATTTCCAAGCCTATTGTGCCCAGTTTTTTCAAAAATGAGTTTCCTTTTTTATGGAACCAATGCACTATACACAATGTTTTAAAAAGCCTACGCTTAGCCCGGCCAGACGTATGCCTAGACCTAGGTGGTACCTAAGCTATCCGCCCAGATTTTGGCAGCACCCAAGGAAGCATAGTTTGTTTACATGGACCGCACTCTATAGGTCTTGATCGTGATTTCATCTGTTGCAGTCTCCACATCCTCCAACCTCCTCCAAACTCCTTCAACTTCCAATTATGAACATATTTTCTACCTCCTCCAACCTTCAGCAAACATCCACCACCACTTAAGCAAAGAAAAAAAATCTGCTTAGGCGTGAATCGGTCCTAAGCTTTCTATAACATTATCTACTATCAATTTATTGTAATTAAAAAATAAAAAAATAGAAAAACTATCTAAGCTCCCTCCTAAGCTTTCATCCAGGCGCCTAGGTTCTGGCTTTGGGTCCAACACTTACCGTCTAGTGTTTTCTATAACCTTGACCATGTATGTTTCTAGAGAGTCATTTTTTTAGGGACCAATACACTTTGTACACTTTCTTTTCCCAAACAAAAGAAGGGAAATTGTTATAATGAATCAATTTTCTATAATTATGTTTTCCTAGCTTCTTTGACGACCAAACAGGCCCGCACGAGAGAGCCAACTGCTCCATTATCGCAATTTATTATTTAATGAGAAAGAAGAATAGGGTTCCATCACTTGCTAAGCTCTAATAAAAGAAACAATTTTTGTTGTTCATATTTTGAGCAATATGGAAAGTGTAGGTAGAGAAGGAACGACCTGTTCTTTTTTGCATTTTATTTTCTTCGAGTAGAATAATGGAGACAAAGCAGATGATCCACTGTTTAAATACTAGTCCCCAAATCTTTCATTTATTGAGATTAATCTTCAAATCTTGATATTTTTCAATCAGCTCCTAAATCTTTTAAGTATTTTGAAATAAGCCCCCTAAATTTTTTAAAGCTTTTGAAATTAGTCTTTTGAGTTAGCAGTTAATTGAAAGCTTTGATGGATTAATTTCAAAATACTTGAAAGGAGTTGGAAAATTAATTTTAAAATAGAGCTAGGGACTAATTTCAGAATATGAAGATTTGAGGGTCCCTAGAACACTTAAATGTTTAGGGGACTAATCTTAAATATCAACATTTAACAGAATATTATTATTATTATTATTATTATTATTATTATTATTATATTTATTTATTTATTATTATTTTTTTTTGGGGGGGGGGCTAAGATGGAAAACCCCTTTTATTTATATATTAGTATGTATAATGTACTATTCGCTGTAATCCTCCTCAATCAATGTGTATATTTATGGCCTTGGGTTTACTATAACTTGAGTTTCTTGGGTTTACTATAACTTGAGTTAACCTTTGGTTTTTATAATACTCCACTCTATCATTAAAGTTTTTGGGATCCACTACAGCTCCCTACAGCACCTATCTAAAGTGGAACTTCCAAAAACTTTAGTAGGTAGTATAATATAAGAGATTAATGGATATCATTGTCATAGGAGGGGATTTCCTCCTTGACGCCTATGTGGCACAATCCCCATCATCCTCATAAAGTAGGAAAGAGAGTGTGAGTTGATGGGGATTTGTGCATACTTTATGAGGATGGTGGAGATTGTGTCACATAGGCGACAAGGAGGAAAATCTCATCCTATGACAATGATACCCATTAATCTCATAATATAATTGAAAATGTATTGGAGGAAAACTAAGTTTTTAGCCGCTTTATTTGCATGTGCACAAACAATATATGCCTGTATGTGAGTTTATAATATTTAATATACAATGGTTAATTTTAATACGACTTATATGAAATTATTTTCACCTTAATATACAATTTTGAAATCGCTATTTTCACTTCCTAATTAGCAATGATCTTTTTCATACACTTCAGAACATTCTAGAACTAGTGATGTCTGATACTGAACACCTGCTGGAGGCTTTTGATGGAAAAGAAAATTCATAGTCATGACGTGCATAGTTGGAAAGTGATGTAAACAGTCTAATCCCAGAAACTTAAACTTGGAGAATTAATATATTTCAGGCTGAACCAGTACCTCACGTTTGGAAAGCATTGTGGACGGCAAGGATTGTTGGTTGGCAAAGCCAAACCAATCAGGTTGGCTGTTGCCATATCGCCTCAACCAATTTCGGAATGCCAAAACCAATCTGTCAGCCTGTGTGGGAGTGAAAGTGAGTTTTGTATATTGCTGGTTGACATCAGCAGATTCCTCCATGGATTTGGAAAGAAAAACTTTCTCTTGACCTTGAAGAACAATCATGTCACCGTCATAGACCTTGTTTGAAGTCCAATGTTCATACCAGCGAGGGACCAACTACATCATCAAACAAAGAACATAGACAGAAGCATTACGATTTTACCCAATCTGGACGACACAGTGTGACCTTCAAAATAATGATGAGCACAAAACCAACACAATTGCTACATGTTAACTAGCAAGATAGATAACTTCGTCAAAGACATAAGCAGAAAATATCATGGAAATGGATATGACAGCATGCATAGAAACTAGATCTGGACATCTAGCAAGGAAACCTATGCTGTGACAGCATGCATAGAAAATCTCCAACACTGTAAACTGTAATAACATGGTTATTCACAATTTAATGAAAGTATCATCAGAATCTCCAGCAAGCATCCTCAAGTCCAAGTTTCTGAATGTCCGATGCACCAAAAATCAAAAATAGACGGCAGCAACTATTGCTGCTTAGAACCTTCACAATACACAACATTTGCCTCGAATTTTCAATATGACTATATCATGAATGTCCGACGCACCAAAAATAAAAAATATACGGCAGCAACTACTGCTGCTTAGAACCTTACACAATACACAACATTTGGCTTGAATTTTCAATATGATTATAGTGGCACATGTTACTCATGACAGATGTTTACATTAGAAAACAAACTTTTCTAACTTAAACACTACAGAAGAGAGAGGTAATTTCATATTGTTTTTGAGGTAATTTCATATTGCTTTTGTTTTTGTTTTTTGTTTTTGTCTGGAAGTAAGCAGCGAGACGATTGCATGCAAATCATGGGTGGCTGCCAAGTACTTGGAGATAGTTAGCACTATCCTACAAAGCCATGGAAATAGAACGAGACTACAAAAATATAAACAGGCATCATCCATAATACTGCAGGTTGGTAGATGTTAATGACCTTTAGTTGCCTTTGATGATTGTAGCTCCACTTACAGCCTGCAGCTTTGTCTTTGGGTAAGCACGGGTACCTTTACCTGCTTCCTAACAGGCTTATTGGCCTTCTCTCTCACCTCTGTCTACTTATTCCTTAATTACTGATAGGAGCATCAAAAGAATGAGCCACTCAAGAAAAATCATCATTCTAACTTGAATTTCTGCTTGCTCATGTTGGCTTGAATAAGCTCGATAGGACATATTTCTTATTTTATGTTAAATTTAATCATATAGGTCAATTGAAAAACATGAACATGTGAATTTTATCATATTGCAAGCAACTTATGACATTAACGAAGCTTTAGCAAATGTTAGAAGAGACCAAAATTACTCCCGTACAACCCACTATTGTATGAGTCACCTAACTGATAGAAAAGAAAAGGAGTAATTGAAAAGAAACTTTGAGCACTTATTTACGTTTCTTCTTATTGAACACAACGGCCAAAAATTCTTTAGAACCGACATTAAAGTTCAATTCTGAGGATCCCCGATAAAACCAGCGTTGAGAACAATTCATGACTAATGTTTGCTACATTTTAGTTCGCTGAAAACCTATAAATGAGCCTAACTCAAACAATACTGCTCACTCAATTTAGGCTCCTTTACATCCGTACTTCCTGCAACTGGTCATATTTTGCTAGTTGTTATATATTAATGATACTAATATTGGACACGGAGTGGAATTCAAGAGCACACACAGACTCTCTTACAACCAGATCAAGTTAGGTGGTTATATTGTAATCCGAAATCGTAATGTCACACAATTACTATTGCCAAACAATTCCTTGATAGTTTTCTTATTGTTTTTGGCCTCTAGTTTCCAGTATTTTCTTTATTATTATTGCTGACCAATCTCTACTCTCACAGAAGAGAACACAACCGGTCATATTGCTCATGCAGCTTTAACTGATGAATAATATTTTAAATATTCTGTTCTTTGGTGTGCTATGATATATAGAGAGAGAGAGAGAGAGAGGGAGAGAGAGGGAGAGAGTAGAAATAAGGTTGAAGAAGTAAATCAACGTTAGTGAACAAAAGAATTTGATCAGTCTTTTATTTTAGACTTGTCTATCTTCTTTGGCGTTTTTGTAGGCTTTCCTTCTATGACCACCTTAAGTGAGTACTTTTTCCTTCTTCGTTTCAGTTCTGATATCTTATTCAAGTCTATTCCTTGATCCTGAAAGCTTGTCGTTTTACTAACTAAATCTAAACTGATGATCTTACAAGGCTTATCTAAATTGATGATCTTACAAGGCTTATCTAAAGTGATCCTTCTTCGTTTCAGTTCTGATATCTTATTCAAGTCTATTCGTTGATCCTGAAAGCTTGTCGTTTTACTAACTAAATCTAAATTGATGATCTTACAAGGCTGATCTAAATTGATGATCTTACAAGGCTTACCTAAAGTGATGATCAATACATCACTGTCAAGATTCTGGTTGCTCTTCTTGTTCAGCAGTGGGAAGCATACCGACATTTGATGTCACAAGTGCCTACTAACATAGGGAATTCTTGCCATAAAGTAAAAGCACCACATGCATCATAACCACAACTACATCATGAAGGATCACAACCATAATCTTAGCAAGCATTTGACCATAATCTTAGCAAGCATTTGACCACTGATTGGTTTTCTTGGAACGACCAGCACCAAATTGGCCAGTGTTGGACCACTGGTTTTGTTGGAGCAACCAAAACACTACGTTGACGAGGAGAGGGCAGAACAACAGGCTTGTTTTAAAAAAAGAGGAGAAGAGTTAGATTCTTTTTTCTTTGGTTAATTAAGGAGGAGACGGAAAGATGATCAAAAGGCATGAGGAAGTGCAGAGCTAATGCTTGATTTGACAACCCATGGACGGCCTCAAGTTTAAGGCTTAGCCGCTTAAAAAAGTAGAATTTTTACTCTAGCTTTCCTAGTATACTAACTACTCTAATATTTGTAAATTTTTATGGAAGTTTATCAAAAGCAACACCATGAACCTTAGCATTTAAAACAGCTGTAACCCAGGAGGTGCACCAACTATATAACTCGAGATGCATGTACAAGAGCCCAAGGTAGGAGCAATAGATAGAATATGAGATACATTCACATGAATGCAGTACATGAAAGTAAAATCAGCAAGATGCGGAAAAAATTGCTAAAGCAGGATGATGAGAATGTAAGTTCATAGGTCAACAATCAGGAAGATTAGAATAACTATTGTCTGATAGTAGACGCTGGAAGAAATGTATTAGCTATATAATCTACTCCATATATGTAAGAACATCTAACTGCATAATATATCAATGACAAAACTAAGGTCAAAACCATTATTGTTATTCTAAACTTCAGCTAAAACCGTGTGCAAGGGCAAAAATAACTTGCTTGTGAATCAGCTATCCATTTCATACCTGCCACCATTCAGGTCCTGGCATTGTAAACTGGAAGAAGTTTCGGGCACTACAAACAATGGAACGGGTCTTCCCAGGTGCCATAGGAATGTTAAAGGAACAAATCCATATGACCCATTTTTGATCTCCCAAAAAAGGAAGCTTTGTGTCTATCTCTATCCTGAAACAGTTATGCATATTAAGAAGATCAATATGAATATACGAACTTGAAAGCGCCAGTACACTTGAGAAAAGTCATCAAATCACAAACAATAATTCCACACTTAAAAAGAAATACAAATGAATGTAGTAGAATCCTCTCATGTGATTTAGAATAACTAGGAATTAATCATTACCTTTGTTGAAATGGTTCTAGATATGACTTCTGTAATGCACCCAACAGCGTTTTCACAGGCCAACTCTTTGCTCATACCTATTAATTATGCACCCCTTTTTTGTTCATTTTTTAATTATTTTTATTTACTTTACAATTAGATTTTGACCAGGAGAGTGGTCATTTGGTACAATTATTAAAACATAAAATATAAAAAATAATAATAAACTTGCAAAAATTGAAAACCCTAGGCTCGACATTCTGGGAATTTAAAATTATCTGAGTATCTGTTTTTGCTATCCCAAAACAAAACAAGGCATCAAAAAGCCCAAGCCGAAGGCACAACCCAATAGGTTACAACTCAAGGCCCACAAATATTAATAAATAATAATTACATAACTGTTAAGCCCAGTAACGGATAAAAAACAGCAAAAACAGATGGTTTTTAAATTCTCAAAGATGACCGAGGCTAGGGTTTTCGTATTCTCTTTTTAACTTTTCTTATCTTTTTTATATTTTTTGTTCCAATATCCAGCGCAAGTGGCGTTTCTCGTGGTCAAGCTCTAGTTCTGAATTAAAAGTGAAGTAAAATTAAAGCAATAAACAGTGTCTAAACAACAAAAGGGGTGCATAAGTAATAGCTCAAAGATGATCTCAAATGTAATAACACTTAATATGCATTAAAGAATAGTTTTGCTTCTATTTCTATTAGGGTTAGGGAACCAGGAAATTGCTGCATCCAATCAAAAATATAGACAATAGGGCAAAACTCACTTATTCAAATAATAGCACGGGGCAACAAATTTAGCACTTATACGAGGGTTCCCTGCATTTGCTCCAGCAAATCCCCAAGCACCACTAGATTCTAACTTAAATGGCAGTGGTTTCGCTCTGTCCCTCCTTCCAGTTACCTATTGGAAGAAAAATATGTTAAGAATGCTACAGACAGTATTACACTTCAGAAGAAAATGAAATAATTATACTCATGGGTTAGCTATCAGACTTATTGTAGATGATTAATTATCAGTTACCAATATCCATGACAATGTAGCTGTAGTGACTGAAAGTAGAGAGTGAATATGTCAGCAGACAAGCAAACCCAGCAAAATTTGACAACATAGTCAGAAGTATGATGTTCTAGTGTCAGTTTTCTATCAAATAATATATATTTGGGATTAGATTTTCATGTATTTATGTGCTACTTTATGTTCTGGAATTAAAAATCTCAATGAGGTTTACACATGACTACTCTTACAGTCCTTTCACTGCATCAAAACAAGTTTGATGTTATGTTGAGGGTTGAGGTTTCTAGAGTGGAAGAGCACTTCCTAGAGATCCAGGCCCATCAGAATAATTGCTTGACATTTATTTCATCCCTGAAACTTCCCTATTCCTTTATCAAAACTAGTAATTTTTCTGAAGAAATTACTAGTTTAGAAAGGTATCTAACATATATACATACCTTGTGGTGTGCAAAATCAAAATGGGAAGGATCCGACACATTTTCCACTAGTTTAAAAAGGTATCTAACAACATATATACATACCTTGTGGTGTGCAAAATCAATATGGGAAGGATCCGACACATTTTCCATAAGCGTATCATACCCATAGAAAAGGTCTCTTTGTATTGTCACAGTTGAGAAACCGGGATCATTAAAATCATCAGGCAACCTAAAGAAACAAAAACATAAAGAAAGTTGAGTTAAATTTTGAGGGGGAACCCTTAATACTAAAAGCAAAAAATGTCAAATATACTAACATTGGAGGCTTGGTTTGCGATGCTTTTTCCCAACCATTCTCATCAGGCCAAACAAAGAGCAATCCCTGTGAGACTAGTGTGGGCAGTTTTGCCACGCAAGCCCTCGAGGACTGGGTTGCCCGAGCCTCAGGCCCTTCAGATGAAGCCTGTGGTATTTTTGTGCATGTACCTTTCCCATCAAAGGACCAACCGTGATATGAGCACTGCAAGCATCCATCTTCATCAATTCTCCCTTCCTGTCACAAAATTCCAAGAAAAGAACCATGTTAAGAAACATTGCAAGAAACAAGATCAAAGCATTGAATCTTTGCTCATTTGCGCACAATGCACCACACTCTATAACAGACTTCAAGTTTGATTTTCAAGAAACAATGTAAATTCACCTGCATTATTTAACTATTAACAGGACCCAAGTGGAAGCCTTCTATGCATGATATTTTATTGGACTGCAATTTTGTCCTGCTATTAACATCAGGTAACACAACCTAAATCAATCATTTGACCGTCATTTGCCTTAATTGTACGAGATTGTACTAGACGCATAAGTTCAGCCTTCCGTACACAGCAGTTAACAGCACCTAACTTATGCGTTTTTTCTCAGCACTATACTGTAGTGGAAATAGATGGAAGCATAGCTCAAACACCCATAATGAATACGCTCCACTCTACATAATTTTCAGACAAAAATATCAAACTATCCAAACAGTTATAACAAAACCTACACCGTTCAACTAAATAAGCTGTCACTTGCTGCAGGAATGTTACTATTCCTAAACTACCTCACTTGGGAACAACTATTAATTGTTCTTATCGAAATATGTTTCAATCAATTGTTTCTATGAAAAAATGATCTTAATTGGTTTTCATTTCGAATGTTCATTTGCCAAATCATAATATTACCATAATAATATGTGCAACAACAACATTACGACGATAAAAGATGAAAACTTTAGGGAAGAGGAAGAATACAGAGAGAGGAGCGAGACGATGAGGGCATCGGTCATCAAAAGCGACCCACCCTCCAGCGTTGGGATCCCTCCACAGCACAATCTCTCGGTTGAGGAGCTGAAATGGGGTCGGCCTTCGAGGATCGAGGTCCTCAATCAAGGACACAGGGTACCAGTGGTCTCTCCACGAGAACGAATCAGAGTCGGAACTAGAAGCGACCGATCCCTCTTCGATTTCTGGGGTCTCGAAGTTCTCACCCTCTTCTTCGGATATTGGAGCCGGAGCTGCCGGCGGCGTCGCCACCCGCGACGGCGACGGCGGTGGCGGGAAAAGTTGGGGCTTTTGAAGGGGGGAGACGGAGGGGTAGAGAGAGGAGGAGAGCGGGAAGAGGAGACGACGAAGGAGAGAGAAGCCGAAGCGGCCGCCATTTTTTCTTTAATTGTTGAGGATTCTGGAAGTGATTAGTTTATTATTGTTGTCGTCTTAAAAAGCTTTTTCTTTTTTTCCTTTTTCCTTTTTTTTTGGGGGTTATTTATTTATTGCAAGAAAAAAGGAAGAAAATTGAAATAAGAGTCGTTTTGTGACTTTTGCTCCATGTTAAATATTGACTTCGATTCAGGGGTTCTCAAAAACAATTTGGCATATAAAAATTAGAGTCTCTACCAATACATACATTTTTTTTCTCTTTTAATGAGAAAATTCTGATTAAAGAAATATTCACCTCGGAGTTCAACCAACATAAATCTAAAATATAAGAAAAAGATTATATAATTTATTGATCTCCAAGGTATTTCTTAACAATCAAATTTCCCCTGAAACCTGGGAGCCGTCTATTCGGAAAAAAGGATAATAAAGGTAGTATCCGATAACTATGAACAACCTGAAATATGATTTCTGCAACATTATTTATTCCCTTATTTATTTGATTTTTTTCGGTTTAAAATCCTTTTTTAATGTTTTTCCCCCTCAACATTGTAAAGGACAAATTTTCAAAACCAACCCCTTTCACTATTTATTTTCAAAAAACGACCGTTTTTTTCCAAAAAAATTTAAAAACCGACCTGGTTTCAGCCCTGGAGCTGTAAGCATGCCGGTTTTTGAAATTTTTTATCCGAAACTTCACGGGAGTTGAACTCCCTTGAAATTTAGTAAAACTGCTAAACTTCACGGGAGTTCAACTCCCGTGAAGTTTCGTAGTTCAAATTTTTTTTTTTTGAACTGCGAAACTTCACGGGAGTTCAACTCCCGTGAAGTTTCCGAAGTTTTTTCACAAAAACCGACCTGGTTTCAGCCCCAAGGCTGAAACCAGGTCGGTTTTTGCAATTAAGATTGATAGGGGTTGTTTTCTGCGATTAAATTTCTAAATAGGTTGGTTTTGAAATTTTGATGTGAAATCCAAGTCCTAAAACTAGAGTCGAAGCTTCCAATCATGAAATCAGATCGGCGTAGAGAAATCTGAGGTGGGCCATGCCTGCCCCTGTTTCCTTCTGCTGACATATATTTTCTTGCACGCAAAGCATCGGCATTGGGCGATACGGTGGATCTCCAAAATAATCTCATCCACACAAGAATCGTAGCCCAACGGCCTAAAACGCCACCAGCAAAGCAGCACGTCACGTCCCACATTGAGAAAACAAGAGCAAAAGTCGGCAACGATACGTTACAAGTCTTGAAGCGGAAGCAACAACCACGATCCATGGTTGCATACGCCAAGGGCCAGTATTGAACTATGAAATTCCCTCTAAAGTTTTAAAAGTGACGCTCTACCCCCCTCATTTTATACTTCCAAGTCAAATAATCATCATTTTTTTGGTTGTAATTATTGGTTTCCAACGTAACAACGATAGATATGTTTACATGGACGTGGATACAAATGTCATATCCCATGATATTAGCTTTTACTCTTCCTAAGTTAATTTTGTAGAAAATAAAAGACGACACGTGCACCGATATGAAATTAACACAATTCAACAAATATCCATGCAAGAAGAAGGCATCATCAACCAAGATCAATAAGAATGACATCGAGCAGGCATGCATGCATGCATGCAATGATAAGGCATCAACCAAGATCATTAAGAATAACCACCTACCAAGCATGGTAATCTATCTACTCTTACTTTTGCAGTACGAACAAATTATGACATTAAACCATTACATATGGATTATCCTATCTTGGATAGGAATTCACAACATCTCGAATACAAATAATTTCAAAATAAAATAAAATAAAAGATCACCTCTTAGGATAGGTGGTAGAGTCTGGGCCTATGTCACGAGATCCAGTGTTTATGTATGGACCGCGAAAAGTTGCTTGTGGGGGAAGAGGCTTTGAAGAATCTATTACAGGTTTATTTTTTGACGACGTCCTTCACAAAACAAATTAAAATTTCAGAAGCAGGCATAAAAGACTAAAATAAAATTGAATAAACATTACTCACGCCATGAAGAAGGGGAAAGATAAGCCAGCAGCTGCAAAGGCTAATAAGCCCGTTGCAAGGACTCCATTACGAAACCGGGACATCCAACTGACAGAAACTGTAATAAAGAACAGAAACAAAAGCTCAGATAGAATACTGCTGATATACCACTGATATAAAGGATATTTCATTATAAAAGTCCAGAAAATAGTATGTTTATTACAAACATTTAGTTAAAGAAGTCCAGAAAAAAGTACATACTTTCAGCTTCACGCTGTTTATTGCAAGGATAGTGACCTACATGAGATTGTTGACACTCGCTTAGGCCTATTGGTGGGTTAGTTAATCAGAAAGCTAAGCATCTCGTCAAAATTCTTCGCAATAGAAATTGATATCCTCAGTGCGGCCTCACGTATTTTGTTCCCCTAAATGCCAGATGCTTGTGGAATTTCTAATTCCAATCTCCTCTTCCTTTTTTCATGTATGCTGAAGATGCTGTACTCAGAAGGTTACGGCCGGCCATTAAGGAAAAGAGAAAACTGAAGGATAACAGGTTGTGTGGTGTGGTTGTGGTGGTGGGGGGGGGTGTTGGAGGAAGAAGAGAGTGGGAGATCTCTAATGAACAAATTTTCAAAACAGCCCCATTTTATTTTATTTTATTTTATTTAAATCGAACTATTTTTTTTATTAACTAAAACGATCCGTTTTTTACCACGTCAGCCTATCACCATCTAAACAGTCGGGGTTGCCAACCCCGACTATTTAGGAGGGTGTTAAATCCCAATTAGAAGCCTTAAACCCTAAAATTTTATGTCCTAAATAGTCGGGGTTGGCAACCCCGACTGTTTAGGAGGGTGATTAGGCTGACGTGGCAAAAAACGGGTCGGTTTTGGTAAATAAAAAAATGGGTCGATTTTAAAAATAAAAAAATAAAATAGGGCTGTTTTGAAAAAAAATTCATCTTTAATGTGTAGATATTACATGAGGGGCTCTCGGTAAAGATTTGTCACAGTTATGGACTATGTTACCCCGACACGGTCAAATTGGTCCCGTACCCATGTCGGGTACGTTTTGGGTGCGGATCCGCACCCAAACGGCAGGGACACGGCGATTTCATGAGGTTCAAGAGGGGGGGAATTACAAACCTGAAGGAGGGAAGACAATCGAGGGAGGAGTAAACGACGATCTTCGAGGGACGGCGAGCTTCAAGGGATGACGAGCTTCGAGGGAGAAGCCGGCGACGAGATTCGAGGGAGGAGTCGGCGACGAGATTCGAGGGACGACGAGCTTCGAGGGAGGAGTGAACGACCAGCTTCGAGGGAGAATAGTGAACCCAAGCCCTAGAATCAACTTGGAGTCACAGATCTGAAGGAGGAGAGAGGAGGGAGAGAGGAACCGATCTCCTTGGAGTGATCTGAAGGAGGAGAGAGGAGAGAGGAGAGAGGAGCCGATGTCTCGTGGCGGCGTTTGGGTCTGCGTTTGGGATGTAGGGTTTTCTTTTTTCCTTTTTGTTAGAGGGATCTAGGGTTTGGGTTTGGGTCTGGGTTTGGGTTTTGCCCATTTTGTTAAAGGGATCTAGGGTTTGGGTTTGGGTCTGGGTTTGGTCTGTTTGGGTTTGGGTTACTTTTGTTTTTTAAAATAGTTGGGTGGGCCATTTAAACGGCCTGCTTAGCTTTGAGTTTGGGTTTAAGGAGTGAGCTTATTTCTCAATTAGAAATTAAATATAATAAAATTGCTATAGTTATTGAAATTAAACATAGTAAAATTGCTCTAGTTAATATAATTGTTAATTTTTAATATATATATATATATATATATATATGAGAAATATGGGTATGCTAAGATTTGTCACAGTTATGGAGGTTGCCATTTTTTGCTACAGGTCATCAATGGAGAAGAGGGGAGTGAGAGCCAAGGTTCAAATGAATATGGAACACAATGCCCCCCGTTCCTTGTCTTGATTGAAAACAGATTGTGGACCCAAGAAAAGGGTCTAAAACTATTTCAAAAAAAAGAGCTTAAGAAGATCAAAGAGGGCCCAAATCTACATTTTACAATTGTGTTCATGCAAAAAACATATACAACCAGAGTATTAGTAGATGAGCACAGCGACAAAATATGGTGGGAAGTTTCCTTAACAACAATATGTACACTCTATGTAGAGATGTCAAACAGGCGTTTCTATGCCACACCAGTTGCCCATTTAGCATTTGCTAAATGCGTCACCCCTCGGGATAGCAGTTTTTGCCCATGCTAGCTTTCCTAGCTTGTTCATCCACTATCTAACCCACTCAAATCCACCCATTTAATCAAATAGACCTTAAATGGACGAGTTTTATTTGAATGGAAGATCAATGAGCAGTAAATGGGTGGGCTTGCAGCCACCCATTTACACATTTATGTGGGTATCATATCAAAAAGAGTTCCCAGGTGGAGTTGGAAATAGACAACTGAAGGCTGCATTTACATCTAAGGAACTGATGATTTGAAATTCTAGAACTCAAATCTAGAATTTGAAATGTGTGATTAAATTCCAATTCAATCGTTTGGGAATAATTAGAATTTCATTACTAGAGTTTTCAATTTTAAATCCATTGTCATTTTAATTTTCAGATTTTTTTTATTTCTATACTTTTTGGATTTTTAAAAGGGTTACTTGTAATTTTGAGATTTATAAGGGTGTTGTTTGTAATTTTTTGATTTAGATAGGTGTCTGTAGTTTTCAAATTTTTAAGGTGGTTCGTAATTATTGAATTTCAAGGGTTGCTTATAATTTTCAGATTTTTCAAGGATTTGTTCGTAATTTTCAACTATTACAATAAAATCCGAGAGCTCTTTTGAAATAATACCCACCTAAATGGGCAAATGGGTGGGTAACCCACCCATTTACAACCCATTTATCTCCTATTGCAATAAAATCTGCCCATTTAAGACCCGTTTAATTTAATTAGATGGGTGGATATGAGTGGGTAAGGTAGTGGATGGGCAAGCAGACATGAGCAAAAACTATCATCCCTGGCTCTGAACTTGCTGTCCAGCATGAAATATGCAAGTTATTGTACTCAACCCACCAGCAAGTTCAGATGATTGCCCCTCAGCGCAATTATAAAACTCAAACCACCCTTTTTTGTTAGCTGACTTCCTGCTATTCGCATTAACCTTTAGATGAATCCTTCTCTTTATTAAACCTACTAAAATTGTGTTTCAAAAGGTATGTAGAAAAAAGGAGGGTACCTTCTAGAAAGAAAGGAGGGTACCTTCTACGTGTCATTAAGAAGTTGAGTACTTCTCTAATTAACCCAATGCATAAGGCATATGTGAATCTGTGATGCAGCTATAAGAGGACGCATAGACGCTTAGCCTTCAAAAGTGCATCTAGGAATCTCATATGAGCCCTAATTTACATTTGTGTAGAGATACTATAGCAGATTTTGATATTATAGTTTGAAACTTCTTTTAAAGGAATCAACAGACATCAACACAACTGAAGTTTGGTGGCTCCTGCAGTGTAAGATAGGCAAAGATAGTTTTGAGGGGAAATCAATAATGCAAATTGTAGTATTAGTAGATTGTTCAATGAGATTCATATGATACTCCTCTAGCAAGGCTAGAGATGCATACACAAAAGTAGTAAAGGAAAAAACAAACGCCACATCTATCAAGGCTCTAATGCTCATCACTCTTCTTGATGCTTCCATTATGCAAGATATCCTAGATGGGTATGCTGCATGTATACCAATTTCAACTGGAGTTTAATAAAAGAAAATATAGAAAAAAAAGTAAGATAACTGGGGTTTAATAAAAGAAAATATAGAAAAGAAAAAAAGTAAGGTAAGTATAAACTACCATCGACTCATAGGAGCTATATCAACTAAAACTGAAAGATGTCCCCCTAGTAAGGACTGGATCACTTCAAAGGGGGGAAAAAGAGTGGAGTGATTGTGACATATCAAGAATTCAGTCATATTGTTCCTTCAAGCATTTTGAGGATACACATGCACTATGCTAAAAAAAATACAGTATTGTACTCTGATACTCTGGTAATGCTATCCTTCTACAGCATGCTAGATCATACAAAGAGGGTGTTTGGAAAGGATTGTTTTTTGAAGTTTATAAGCTATGCAACATTTTAGTGGTTTTTTGGCTTTTATTATAAACATTTGTAAAAGCATAATAGTCATTTGTGTGGTCAAACCTAGCTTATTTAGATAAGCTTATAAGTTAGCTTTTCAAAGGTTAGGAACTCCAACTTTTTTAAATTGGACTTAAAAGGTAGCTTATTTAAGACGTCACCAAACTCACAGATACGGAGAAGATAGGTTAAAAGCTACTTTGACCAAAAAATTTAGCTCCCCAAACACCCTTAAAGTATTTTTATTCAAGAAAATGAGAGCAGGCGTCTGCTAGACAAGCAATGCATCTTGTACAGGCTGATCAACCCTAGCTGCGCCTCAAAGTATTAATTATTCATGACTCCGAGCTGCACCTAATTTTTAGATCCTAAATCCTTATTTCTGCAACTCTCTAATACACCAACCTTACAGATATCAGATGAAGCAAATTCCATTGTCTCATATGAAGTAATAAAAACTCGTACTAGCTTTTGCAAACACAGAGAGTGTAAGCTCAAAAATTTCAACCATGAAAAACTCTCATGGAATGTCCGCCCAGTTACACAATGATGATCAGTACAACTTGAAGTTGGTAGTTTATCAAATATGTTCAACATACTGGAAAATGCATCAGCACTTTTGACAGCAATAAAGTTCCATTTTCACTACTTTTGTCTTTATAATCTGCAATATAAAAACGGAAAGAATTGATGATAATTCTGTTTGGGGTTGCCCTTTCTACAGAACCATCCCATTCATTGTTATCGAGGCACGCGCCCCGCGGGTGCTGCGGGCTGGGACAATTGCGCCCCGCACCAGAGGCAGGGCGTTGCACGCACACGAGGCACGCGCGAATGCTCCTCGTGTGCGCTTGACTGCATCATGTAATTAACTCTTTCTTCTGTTTTTTTCTAAAATAATTTACATATTACATATTTACATCATGTAATAGACTCTTTCTTGCTAGTTGCTAATCCATACTCCATCTTTTCATGTTTAACCTATAAAAAAGAAATAGTAATTAATAATTTAGTATACTTATTTGCTAATTGTAACTTCCTTCTCTAATTAGCATGCTAACTAGAAAATTATGAACATGTAAATATCTAATTATTACCTCCATTCTCCATCTTTTCATGCTAACTAGCAAATAGCAATTAAGAATGCTAACTAGAACATCTTTTCATGCTAACTAGCAAATAGCAATTAAGAATGCTAACTAGAAAATTATGAATAGTCATGTTTGTTAATCACTTAATTGTTACTTAAATACATATATCATATTTTAAATGAAAATACATATTTCTAATTTGTTACTTGCTTGTTTTTTTCATAGACTTTGCTTATGTTGGAGATTATCTTGCATTGTGATTTGTGAAAACTTATGAACTTCTCTATGTTATGCATGCTAATTAAGACTCTTTCGTGATTTAATAGGTGAAATTATATTTCTTAGTCTTTTTATGTGACAATTTATAAACATGTTGTTTATATGCTTTTTTGTCTTATGTTGGGAAATATTAGTTTGAGTTGTGTGCCTCAATTCAATGAGGTGCGCGCATTGTTGTGCGCCTTGCGCATGGTGCGCGTAAGGGGCCTTTGCACCCCGCATTGCGCCTTGTGCCTCAATAACATTGATCCCATTTAAGAGTTTTATCTGTTACAAAAATATTATAAAAAATCAGAATAATTTTAATAGCCCAACAGATAACACCTCTTTCCTTGAGTTAAACATAAATTACAAAATCCCCCTAAAACTGGCAGGATCACAAATGTCCTCTCCAAGGTTTCAAGTAAAAGTTTGACCCTTCTCTTTCAATTTCTATAAGGTTATTTACTTAGATGGCAGTTTGTGGTTATACATACAAGAATTATCTATACACCCATGTAATCAATATGATTATCGTATTGGAAATTGATGATTACATCAAAAATTTTGATGATCATTCGACAAGGATTTGAACATTAAGATGCTGAAGTGCCAGTTTTAAAAGCTCACAGGAATTTTTATGATTCCTACAAACAATTGGGGTTCCATAATGTACACTCTACTTACCGCTAACCGCTAGTCAGCCCGCTGATCAAGCTTCAAATTTGAAGTCCATAATCTCTCATTCAATAACGAACGAACTAGCTTTAGTTTTGCTCCATATGCTCAACAAAAAGGAGTTTACAAGTCTATCCTTCTTTCGTGTTGTCATCTTTCTCTCTTGAAGTCTTGGCCACTCAATCACAACACAACCTATCGACTCTAATCGCTCAATAGCAGTGCTTAAATTTGTGATCTCGTATCTTAAATCTCTCATTTCCACTCCCTACGATTAGCCCGATTCAAAAGCAAAATTCCTAGTAATTCATTCATCAACGATTTTCCCCCTAATGCTTCATGTAACCAAAATTTTCACAGAACAATATAAGGTTCTGACAACAAAATGAAGTTTGTACATTAGGCGTCGAATCTAAGGAACCAAAAAAATAAGTAAATTTCTCGTTATTAATATTATCAAACAAGTAAAATTTACAAATTAGCAAGAAAGAGCTTGACAATTGGTTATCACTAGCAATATAATATTAATTATTATGACAAAATTATTGACTACAAACTCAATCAATTTCTCGATTAACAAGTGAAATTCATACTAATTTAGTAAAAGATTAAAAAAAAGATAGAAATCGGGTTGATACCTCAGAGATCCCAAGCCCTAACTTTGGAGAGGGTCGAAATGAAAAATGAAAAGAAGGAGAACGACCAAAAAAGGACAACTATAAACGGGTCGGTTCGGGTCGAGTCGGGTTCATGCAAAATCCAAACAGAGGAATAATAAGCTAAATACCATGAAAACCCCCTCATCTTTGGATAATTGGCAGATAGCCCCCACAACTACCAAAATATCAGAAAACCCCTTCTAAGTTTAAGGTTATCAGAAAATACCCTCTAACTTCAGGATTTTATCAAAAAAATCCTCCTAAATGTGTTTACAGTTATTTTTCACATGGGTAGATAAAATTATGTACATGAGATATTTTTCAAGGAAAACTACGGTTCTTATGCATTAGATAAGAGTTTTTCTTCATTGAAGAGGTAAGTTTTTTTGGGATGAGTGTAGAGAGTTCTGATGACATTGGACCGTGCTAACTCATTTTGTTCTGAGTTGAAGAAAACCAAATCTGAGCTTTCTTGCAACAAGAATGCAATGTTGAGCTCCGTGCATCGCACAAAGAAAGAACTAGTTATCTCTATCTACATTACTTAACACATGCGCAAAATATTTAAGACACGCTAAAACCATCAATATTCTCAAACATCGATTACGAGTAGGGATCAGATAAGAGAACTAAAAGGATACAAGCGAAACTGATAAGAATACTCAGAATGGACCAAAAATGTTGTATTCATACATGTATTCTTATATGTATCACATCAAACTTTAACCCGTTTGCAATATTCGTATGATTTTGTTGTTGGGTTCGATTAATCCAACGAACCCATGTGGCCCAACCTACTCGATTTTGGATTTAATTTAAAGTTGTCATCGATTCAAGTTAGGATCAAGATGCTAACCACATGGTCTGGTTAGACAAGTTTCATGTTTATCAAGTTGGGTGGTTATCTTGAATATCTAAATGATAGGATCGTTCGGAGTGTAATCTCACGGTTGTGATTAAACCATGATGGGTAGGGTTAATCACAAATATCATACTCTCTTTAAAAGCACGAGTTCGGGAAAATCTTTTGGTAGACAAAAATACCCTTGAAATTCAAATTAATCCATTAAGTAAGAGTAAGTTGATAAATTGATGAATTCTTATTGGATATACATAGTATGAAGATAATGATATAGTTTAAATTGAAATATAAACCTAAATGAATTTATTAAATGCCAAATTTATAAATGTATACAAGATGAATGGCGTATATGCGAAAACCAAACAAATTAGTGAGACAAATAATGTTCGCTGCAGAGGTCAAACTCCGAAACAACGCAGACATACAAATGTACATAATGTGGACAAAGTATTTCTAAAATCCACCAAACAAATTAAAGAGACAAAAACATTTTAAAAATTATAAAAAAAGGAAAATTAAAATAAATGGTTGCGGTATGAGGACACAACTTGTCATCTCTCAACAACTAAAATTCAAGTAGTTCGCGACACTACATAATTAGTTTTAAAGTTTAATTATATTATTATTATTTAAATAAAACTCTATTTACAATTGTTATCCTCTCACATGCAACATCACATACCAATGTTTATAAACCGAAACTATAATAATTTTCGTAGCACTTTCATCTCCTTCTACATATATTTGCCTTTGTTATTTTCTTCTTATTAGATTAGATTATATTATTTTAAAGTAATTAATTATATTTTATATTTGATCTTTTTTTCATATCAAGAAATATCAACAATTTTTACATCACTTTCGTCTATTTTCTTCTTATTATATTAGATTAGATTATTTTAAAGCAAGTAATTATATTGTATGTTTGATCTTTTTTTTAGATCAGAAATTGCAATAATTTTTATAGCACTTTTATCTCCTTCAACATATATGTGCTTTTGTTATTTTCTTCTTATTAGATTAGATTATATTAGATTTTTTAAAATTATGAATTATGAAATTATAACAATGTTCACATAATTTTTATCTATTTTCTTTGTATTATATTAGATTAGATTATTTTAAAGCAATTACTTATATTGTATGTTTTTTAGATCAAAAAGATTAATTATACTATTATTATTTAAATAGATACTGTTTGTATAAAAATCAAAGAGAATCTCACACATATCTTAAATCTCAATGCCAATTGTAATATTTACACATGGGTGTTGATTAAAATAAATTTCATGTATGGATATATATATATATATATCCACAGGACCACAGATATCTTGAAAATGAACGAAGAAAACCACACAAACAAAAAACATATTAAGTACCATACGCACCCACTATTTTCAAAACCACCATTCTCCATCTCCATTTATTACATATCCACATACCAAATTAAGCTGTTGGAGTTTCCCCTCACCAAATACACCATTGATCAACCCTCCTTTTTCCTTTGTACTTAAATTTTATAACATTCATTGTGATGAGGACTCACATGAGTCCTTTGCCTGCGTAGAACGTCCAACAAAAAAAAATAACGTACAAGGCCTTGTAGTTAGTTAATAATGAGATCCTATCATTATAAACAAACTAAATAAAGATTAATAATTTTTAAGAATGTACTATGTTACCCTATCTTCCCTTGCAAACTTGTTAGTTGTTTATTCCTGGCCCGAAGAGATTTTCAAAATTAATCATCTATTTCATAAAATATTTAAAAATATTTAAATAAAATTTATGGAAAATGTAACAAACCATGCTTATAGATTTTTAACTCAAAATAAATCTGACTTATTTTATAGTAAGAAAATAAATAAAAAATAATTTTGATAGTTAACCACGTGCATTGCACGTGCACAAGAACTAGTCTATATAAAAGGTGGGAGTCTCTCCTCTCAACCGTAAGCAGAAAAGAGATCAAATTCCCATCGTTGGCTACGGGAGGAGAGAGGAGAAGACTTCCATTGTCTTTCGATGGTGAATGGTAATTTAGATCTATATTTCTAGTTTAATTTTTCATTCCTAGATCGTTAAATTATCCAACATTTGCATCCCCTTTGGAGACTGTCGCGAGAGAAAGGTAAAGGTTGATTTTAACAGAAATTATGAGCGTGGACATATTCCGAATGGTGATCCTTCCATGGATAGAGTTAAGAGTTCAAAATTTTATAGTTCATAATCAATAATAAACTAATGATGGATCAACACGTAACAGCAGAAAAAACAATTTATATTTTGTGATTTAAATCAACTAAGGGGGTGTTTGTTTCAAATCCTATAATTTTAGGATATGGATTTCACCATGGGATTTGAAATCCATAAGTTTTTTTAACATAGATTGGGATTTCTAAAATTTTATTTGTTTCATCAATATTTTAGGATTTGAAATACTATAATTTATAATATTTTGTTTGTTTCAAACTCAAATTGTCGTATAACAAATTTTGGAATTTGAAATCCATAGTTGTAGCAAACAAATTTTAGGATTACCAAAATAATGATTGGTGAAAATAAGAACCTTTAGTGAGCTTATCTCCCACAAAAAAAAAACAAATACAATTGTATTCAATTGGGGTAAGCATACCCAATTAAATTTACACTCCAATGGCTATAAACTGTCATAAATAGTCATAATTAACCCAAGACAATGTAAATAATAAAATGTAAAAATAAATGATAACATAGAGGCTCAGAAAATGGTTATTTTTTCAACATCTACATAATGAAATTGCATTGTAGATTGCATTCAAATAATGGACTGCCTCCTCTAAAAATTGCAAAAGCAATGTAGATCGCATTATTATTATTTAACGCCTCCTGTAAACAATGACATCCCATTGTAGGTGGCATTATCAAAATACGACCAATCATCATAGCCGCAAATCCATCAAAAACAAAGCTTATCAAAGAGTGACCAATCATCATAACCGCAAATCCATCAAAAACAAGCAACCAAGCTCACACAAACTAAAACCGAAACAACCAAGCTCACAAGCCATCAAAAACAAGCTCAAACATTAACCCAAACTCAAATAACCAAGGCTACAAACAAGTACGAAAATTAAAAACCTGTATTGCCTCAAGTAACCAGCAGCAAAAGCTGAAGTAATCAAACCTGCAAGCAAGCAGCCGCAAACATGCAAGCTGCACCCAGAGATACAAGCAACAAGCTCTAACCAAGTGTCATCCACAACACATAACATGTCCCTTACGAGAAATTATGGAAACTATGAAGACTGAACTTAATCGAAGCTCACAAATCCATCAAAAACAACCAAGCTCAGCGACCAAGCTCAAAAACAAGCTCAGTGCTCAAATAATCAAGGCTGCAAGCAAGCAACCGCAAACAAAAAATGAGTCTCACATGCAAGAAAGCCATCAAAGTATGCAAACAAGCTCATATAACCAGCAAGTTACTCAGCATGTTTGTTTCAGATTCAGTTTGTTTTCTAATGGTTGCTTGTGAGCTTGTTTCATATTGCTTCAGATTCAGTTTATTTCAGATTCAGTTTGTTTCAGACCAGCTGCAAAAAATAAAACAAAACCTATCCACACATAAGCAAGTTGGACCCAAGAATACAAGCAGCTCAGATTGGACTTAAAACCCACAACAAACCAAGGCTGCAAGGAAGTCATATTACTATCAAGTAACTAGTCTACAAACAAGCTCATATAATCAGCAAGTAAGCAGCCGCAAGTAAGCAGCCGCAAGTAAGCTCAGACCAACTGCAAAAAATGAAACAAAACTCTCCTGCTATCAAAGCAAGCAACTCATATAACCAAGACTGCAAGAAAGCAGCCGTAAACAAGTAAGATGGACCCAAGAATACAAGCAATAGCACGACTTATGTGTCTAGCTCTAGATTCTATCTTCTCTTTATTTTCCACCTTAGGGTGATAAGTGATTGATTTTCTTCTACTATGTATCCTCATTAAACAAGCAAACACACAAATCACCACAAAGATAGTAGCATTAGAAGTCATCCTCATTAACATCTCTTCATCAATATCATCCATCTACATTGCTATAAAAAAAAGATTTCTCGTATAAATACTATGCATCAATCTTAAATAAGTGCTTGGATAGCAAATAGAAATCAACAATGTTCAAGAAGTTAAGTTCAGATGAAGCGGAATTGAAATATTGAAAAC